AATTACTTGAGAATGAGGACATAGAAAGTTTAAAAAGCATATATGCAGTTGCAGATGACATGCATAACCCTGAATCCTGTCCTATACCTAAAGAGCAACTCAAAATTAGCAAAGGAATTGAAATAGGGCATATTTTCTATTTCGGTGATAAATATTCAAAACCTATGAAAGCAAATATTACTTTTAAAGACGGCACAAACATCAATATACATATGGGTTCATATGGAATAGGGGTATCAAGATTGGTTGGAGCGATAATAGAAGCTTCTCATGATAAAAAAGGAATTATTTGGCCAGAAGCCATATCCCCTTTCAGAATTGGATTAATTAACTTACAAACAAGAGAAGAAAAATGTCAAAAAATTGCAAATAAGATATATGAGGCCTTAAAAGGTGATGAAGTACTTTACGATGATTCTGAAGAAAGCGCAGGAGTAAAGCTTTCTAAGATGGACTTGATAGGGTTACCATGGCAAATAATTATTGGTAAAAAAGCAGTGAGTGAAAACCTAGTTGAAGTGAAAAATAGAGCAACCGGTAAAATAAGGGACATGCAAGTAGAAGAAGTAATTAATTATTTTCAGTAGATGATACACGGCATCGGAACAGATATAGTGCATATACCAAGAATATTGAGAATATTGCACAAATATGGGAAAAAGTTTGTAAATAGAGTATACACTGAAAAAGAAATAGAAATAGGTAGTCAGTACAACAGTCAAATAGTTCAAGCCAGATATTTCGCTAAACGCTTTGCTGCAAAGGAGGCTTTTGTAAAAGCGCTAGGTACTGGCTTTAATAAAAATATTAAAATGAGAGATATAGAAACATGCAATGATGTAAAAGGAAGGCCGTATATCATCACCAGTAGAGATTTTATCTCTCAAAAGAGCACAACTTACCTTTCAATTAGTGATGACGCAGACTATGCTACTGCTTTTATAGTGATCCAAATTTTATAAAGTAAGTTAAAAGGTAATTAACAGCTTCTTTTCAAACCCCAGTAATGGGCTGCCACAGCAGCCCTAGAGCCATGTTTATTAGATTCCTTGCAAAATCTTTAGTACACTAGCTTACTAGTATACCTCGACTTGTAGAAATAAAACTCTCAATACTACTAACAGCAAGGTCATGTATCATGTTAGCCTTCTTATTAAAATTTTCACCCATACTTTTACCCAACTCTCCTTTTTGTGCAAATTCGTATAGAGCTAGAACAGCAGCAGCTGAACACGCTGCTATCATACCTGCTTCTGCTATAGCTAGCAACGATATTCCAGATATCAAAAGAGCCACTGCTCCAACAGCAATGCTTATCGCTTGTCTCTGCTTTGTAGGATTTTGAGACGTATCACCACTTGCTTGACCTTGTGCTGCTGTGTTGTTCACTTTAAAAATATCTGAAATCACTCTGGAAACAATTTTTACTGCAAGAAATCCAAGTACTATAACAGACATCCCTAAAGCCAATTTTGCTATAAGCACAATTGATGGTAATGCTATTATGCAGACCATTAAACCCATTGCTGCTGCTGATAACTTATAGTCTATGTTACTAGGTTGTGCACCATTCATGATATTCCTCCCGTGTTATATTTTAAAACATTAAGAAAAAGTTTTTCTTATAGTAGAGTCATAAATTAAATTATCGGGAAATGCAATAGTTTCGAATAGAATTTTTTCGAAATTATGGAAGATTTTTAGGAACTCAAATGCATTTGAGGAAAAATTGAGTTTTTTATTAATTTATAGAAAATTTTATGTTTGCCTGGTGGGATATCTTAATGTCACTCCAATTAACTGGAATGACATTAAAAAGCTGGTGGTGCTGTCTTTTTTTTTAAGTGATTAATTAAGCTGCCACTAAAATAGAAGGAGTGTGCAAACTTAGATGAGGATCTGTCACATTACCTATATCAGACTCTGTGTCTGACAAACTAATAAGATCTTCTTCTAATATCTTTGGCTGATTAACAGATGCACTTTCTACAGTGTCTGTACTTACATGCGAACTCTTTTTTTCCTTTTCAGCCTTTATTCCTTGATGTACTAAACATATAACAAAAGCAACTAAAATTGCCGCCATAACACCAGCAACTATAACACATGCCATCTTTGTTTGCTCTGCACTCACTAGCGCGTCTGTTACATTTGCAAGTTGTTCAGCAGTTTCTGCTGACTGTTCTGATAATTTTGCAACTTCTCCTGTCACACCTGCGAATTTTTCTGCAGTCTGTTCTGATAGTTTTGCAACTTCTCCTGTCACACCTGCGAATTTCTCTGCTAGTTCATTTGTCTTGCCTGCAAGACCTGCTGTTTGTTCTGCTACTTTTGCTGTTGTGTCTGATATACTTGCAACTTGTGTTACCACATCTTTTGACAGACCTGTAAACTGACCTGCTAGTTCATTTGTCTGTTTTGCAAAACCTGTTGCTACATTTCTTGATAGACTTTCAATTTTACTTGCGTTTTGTGTTATTCCCTGCTGTGCTTGATCAATACCGAACAACCAACCAAAAAAAGATGCCATATTTACCTCCTATTAAAGTTAAAATTCATACCTCTATTGTAATTTTTAAATAGTTAAATTAGTATTAATTCAATCGGTTCTTGAATAATTTTATTTAATTCGCCTTTTAAAAGCAACAATTT